AACAAATGTACAAAAATAATTGATAATAAACCTCAATTCCTAGAAAGTTCAGCAAGCCTAGTTATTTTAAGAAAAAAAATGAAAATGATACTGGTGTTTTTTTTAAGAAGATAACTGGGCTTGTTGGTGAATTATTTCAGGCATTGAGGTTTTTTATTCGGGTATTGCGATCTCTAGAATAGGAAAAGGCACAGTTCTCTTAACTTTTTTAACCAATTCAGACCAAAAAGTAACCAATCAAGAGGAAAACGATAAAAAAGTCACTCTTAAATGATTAGACATCAAACATACAAAAATTTATTGAAATTTGGACAATAACATAAATTTTATATAATCTGCATCTGCATCAGTAGACTTAAAAAATACTGCGAATAAAAATATAATTTATTTTGGCCAGTTTCAAAGTGGATTTCACACAGTGAGTACTATAATGAACGTAATCTATCGGGTTCATGGATTCACTTTTAAAAGACAAAATTTTTACAAAACTTATTGTGATGAAATCTGAATTGCTTCTAGAAGGTCGTCTAATGATATAAATTATTTCTCTAAAAGATATAAAAGATAAAGGCTGTGTGATTCATCGAAGTTCATTGAAAATCATGAAAGATACTAATTCAATTGATAACTTGAAGCTTCGGTGGAAGCAAATTTGATGAATTTGAAACGGGCAATATCCACTTAAAAACGCTATATTAAAAACGCATCTAAAAACGCTATAATAATTCTGAAAAAATCTATAATAACTCTGAAGTATAAAATTCCTTTTTTTGTTTCGTTTAACCGTTTTGTTGTCAATATTACGTAGCCCAAGACTTTTTGGACACATAACTGCTGTTTTTTTTTAGATTGAATGGCTGCTTATTTGAAAAACATTAAAATGAGAATGCAGAACTGAAGGCATAGAAGGTTGAAGCTGATATAGAAGATTCGAAGAACCCAAGCTTGGTCTTAAAGTTGAAAAATTTTCTCCAATAGCGCCCAGAGGCAAAAACATTTTGAGAAGACCTTGGGAAAATGATTGCTGGGTGACATTAGGCCTTTTTGCATAATGCAGAACAGTGGGTTCAGAAGTTTTGATGTGTGATCGTTGTGAAGTCTTGAAAAAAAAATTAATTGCAGTTCCTTATATAAGATTTTAGGTAGTTACGTAGAAAAACGCGAGCTCTTCGAGAAGAAAAAAACTGTTGAGGTTCAAGAAAAAATCTAGAAAAAACGAGTGAAATCTGATTGGGAAAAACTGACTATCTGGGTCAAATTATTGTAAATTTTTTTTTGCCAAACTTTTTTCGAAACAAAATCAATTTGCAATTTTATTTGCAATCTTTTTTGCAAGTTTTTGAAAGTTTGCAAAAATTAATTTTCAAATAAACAGAACAATCGTTTTGACAAAAAAGTAAAACTAACAACCTACTTACTTCCTTTCCACAAATTTAGGTGTTCTACTTAAACTATAGAAACCAAAAAATGGTTCATGATTAGATTATCTCAATTTACGTATTCTACAAACAGCTCAATTTTTTATGAGTGGATTGCAAAAGCCCTTGCAATAGCATATTTATTAAAGTATGTTCATGAAAAGACGCACGGTAAAATTTTTCGCTGAATGAAAATTTTTTTTCAACATTTGATTTAGCATACATCCAGAGAAGTTCTATCTTCGCCGCAAAATGAGTAAGAAAAAATAAGACTTATATATGAAAATCATTACAAGGCCGATTTGTGCATTTTGTGAACTGTAAGCCAATTCCGCAACAGGCAAAAATTAGATTTGTCAGGGAATCCGCATCTTGCTCGTTTTTTTAATCTTCTCTGCTGTTTTGAATTCCACGGACAAATAACTTAAACACTGTAAATGAAACAGTTTGGTCTCATAAAAATTAGAAGTACAGCTTGTCTCGTCCAGCAAGTGGATACTATTTTATCTAACTATGTGAAGCGTATGAACGCCTTTTCCCAAACGGAAAGATCTATTTGTTTTTTAATCGATCATTATGAACCTAAACTGCAGAAAAATTACTGGTTACATCCCTCACCAGATTCAACTTGTTTATCTACAGGTTTTGGAATGGGCAGCTTCAAGTTGTTTGTATATCAAGCACGGTTCTGAATCATAAATGCTAAATGAAACAACAGATTTTTGGAATTACAAAATTTAATGTACGTTTTTTCATAGGTAATGTTTAGATTTGCTGATATTTTGATTTCTTGTGGAATGTTTTTACAATGTTGAACCATTTTTGTCAATTTGAACTAATTTTACGATGAAAATCTTTACTTCATGAGATATTTAATTTTTTTCAGTCAAAATTAAAAACGGAATTTATTAATTTACATCGTTCCTATTTTATTAAGATCTACTAAGATTAAAAACGTAGTTTATTAAATAAGAACTAATTTTATTAAATTCCATCTGTCCTGAAATTCTAATAGGGTTTATTTTAAGATCTTTTTTTCATTTATATGACATTGAACAGTTATGTAAATGCGTTCAAAACATTCTAGTTCTGTGTTCAAAATATTCTTTTTTATCAATATCTTTGCCTCTTTAAGATCTGTTTTTTTTTTCTTACAATTGAACAGTTGTGCAAAATGTGTTCAAAACATTTTATTTTAGTGAGACCTAAAAATTAATTTTATTTAAAGAATTAAAATTAAATTTTAAAAATATCAATTGTTCGTAGTCATTTGAAAAGATTTAATTTAAGATTTTTGTTTTTTTTCTGACAATTGAACAGATGTACATGTGTTCAAAACATTCTAGTTCTGTCTGTCTAATTGCTTTTTTGTTTGTTTTTTTAAATGCCGTCTTTGAAATTGATACTTTATTTTCTGAGATTTCGATTTAAGTATGAAAATATAACGTTTGCATTGCAATTGATTTAATTTCTTGGAGAACATTTCAAAAGATTCTCTAACATACGGAAAGCTGTTTCCACAAAATTTTATATAATGCGAATGCCTTGCAACAAAAACAAAGCTGCTGAAATATAAATTCTGCAAAATTATATGATCCCAAAAACAAAAGTGAGCAATATTGTTTGATTAGAAAATTTGGAAGCATATTCCGTTTCAGCATACAGAATTTCTATTTTGTGTTATCTTCAAATTAAAAAGATGATTAAATTTTAAAATGCGACAAAAATGAGGCATAGTGTTTCACGAAGCCTTCTTTTTGTGGTAGCTTAGATTTGGAGAGCCGCCTTCTTCTATGCGTTTTTAAAATGATTCCGTTTTTGCTTGAAACTCAATTGGAAAGCTACTCCCGAGTTTTGAAACTAGTTACGTTTTAAATTTTGTTTTGAATCTCAAGTATGCACTGGGCCAGATAAAGATTGATCTTTATCGCTCTACAAAAAAAATAATTTTGTAGTTGTAATTGTTAGGTGTATTAATCAGTTAAAAAAATAAATAATGTTTCTACCTTATGTTAAGCGTATACTTGAACTTTTAAAATTAACAAAGATGCTCATCTTTGCATGGCAAATACTAGTGACATTATGACAAAAAGCTGCTTTAAAACGTTCAAGATAAAGCTTGGAATTACCAAAAATTCGCCAAGGTCTAGGATTCGATCTGCGACCTAAGGAACTTTCGAGATTTTTTGTCTCTTGCTTTATCTACTCAAACTGGACCACCGACAAACACTAGTCACCGAAAAACTAGCTACATATTGCCTGTGCAATTCAGTTAAAGTAGCACTAATTACAAACAGACTTACTTTTGCAAGTAATAATTTGGAATACAACTAAGTCATCCACGCTAACTTTGCTTCTAATAAATTATAAAACGAAGGCACATTATCAATTAGAGTACGAAAAAGTTGAAAATAATCATCGATAAAGCTTTTAACTTTGAGGATTTGACATTACCCCTAGCACGAAGCAAACACTCGCTTGAAATCTATCGCTATCTTCTAAATTTTGCATCTGAGGCATTTTTGTCGATGCAACATGACAACTATACTTAAAGGAACTATACACCAATTCCTCAAAAAAAATCGGAATAATTAAAAACTGATTCTCACTTTTTAAACTTGTTCTAAAAAGCATGCACTGTCAAAAACTAAGCAGCGCCCAAATTATTCATTTTTCTAAGAAACAAAACATTTCATTTTTACGTGTACTAATTCAACTACTTAAGATTACTGCTAAAGCAACCAGCATTAAGTAGTCTTGATTAATTTTTCACACAGAGAAGATGCACATCGCATATTTAAACAAAAACATGACCGATAACGCTACGGGGAAAAATTGAATTAAAAACACAGCCTACAAATTTTTTTTACGTGACACGCCAATTATGAGCCTACATAATGCCTAAGTGACACAAGCCAATTATGACGCATTAGCAGTACCAGACAATTTGAAAAAAAAATTACCAACTAACATCAATTTATAGAGCGGTCGCATTTTAACTAGCATACGAAAAAGATCATTAAAACATTCACGCCTGCCCAGGTCCAAACAATCATATTTTGTTGCGAGTCTCCTTCCTCACCTCTACGATACAGATCCATTATACATTGAAGCTACCATGCTATTTGTAATATAAGTTCGTGTTCAAATCCTCAGCATTAGCTGAACTTAATAGCTGGTTATTGATCAAACTGAACACTTTCAAAATGAACACACTTTGTCGCAACAATGTTTCCGACTTAGGTTCGAAAAAAGAGAGTTCATACTATCACACAAGCTTTGCTTGTGTAAATAACTTGAGCACATCAGTAAGTTAATGAAACCCACGTGCATTTAATGATTCAAGTTTCGTTTGTTTACAATAAGTTGTTCACCAGAAAAAAGTCTTTATTCCGATTTGAAAACGCTTGCTAAATGCAAGCGTTCAAATTTTCAATTTCAACCATGAATACAACATATCAACACGAAAATTTCAGTTTGAGTTTTGCATGTAAAGTGTATCATCTTCGCTTCATTCACGATCAGTTCAGGAAACGTTAGAAATGCATTGTTAGCGTTTTAAAACAGTCGCAGGTCGCTCCTTTACTTCCTCATACTCTCCAAAGCTTCTTGCTCTGCCTGTATAAGTCGATCTTCCTCCGTTTCCCAGGTTTGCCTAAGATTCAACCAATAATTATTCCCAATACAACAACCCAACGAGTGCATGAAACAACTCACTGAATATCTTTCTAATCGCTATTTCATTTTGAACCGCTTGACCTTTGTATGACAATGTTTACGTGGATAAGAAGGAAATGAACGTGACTTGATTGCAGCATACCTCCAGTTGAGGTAATAATCTGCCGTCTGCTGGTCCACTTGGTCTAAAACGTGCACATTGAGTTCTTTGCACTTGTAGGCCACCAGTTGACTTAATTCCTGTAGGTTGTGATACTTGAACTGCTCGTGCATCTGTCTAGTGGCCGCTATGTGGTAGATGTGCTTCAGAGACACCGCGCCAGTCGGCGGCTGATCCACGCCAGGCTGTCTTTTACCTACAACAGCCCAATAACTACTACACACGTCCAATGCATTCATTCATCCTGCTTCCGATTTTGTTGGTAAACAAAAATGCATTACTAACATCCACTATTAGATCCATATCATTTCGAGTTTCAAAAAAGATATCTATCACCTCTAAGTTCCTTAACTTCAAAAAATGTTTCTAATTGACACATAAAAAAAAACTATCACAATTTGAATAAACTGGATCATTAGGCATTTTCTTTATTCGCTTGAGAAGAAAATGAAATCCACTTAAAAAGTCAATCACAGTATTTCGCACTATTAAGCGTTTGTATTTTGCCTTCTTTTAAGCAAAACTTAGCCAAAAAACAGTTGGAAAAAAGTCAATGAACGCAAAGAAACAGCCAAAAAACTGGCTTAAAAAATAGACAAAAATCTGAAAAACCGGCTCTTTCGCAATATATATATGGTCTGAAATCTCTTTGAAATACTAGAATAGTTTACTAGTAGCACTCTTCTGATAAATTAACCCAATATAACTACCTTTTGATAAAACTGCGCATATACCTGGGGGTTTCCGTAAATGCATTACATAACACAGAGGCGAAGCTGCGCTTCGCAAGCATTTGCGAGAACACGACCAAAAAGCAGCTCTATCAAGTGAAATAAAAAAAGTAGAAATCAGCCTCAAATTAGCAAAAACTCGGCTACGTGTAGGATTCGAATCTGCGACCTTGTAACTTATTCCACGGATGTTTAAATTCACCAAAAAACTAGCCACTAATAACCAAGCTACATATGCTAATAAATTGCCAATTCTATACCTCATAAGTGGCACCAAATACAAAAAGACACAATTTTGCAGGTAATAAATAGGAAAGCATAAAGCCAAATTATGTATAACTTATGCATTTCAAACAAAATGCGAGATATATTGAGTTGGAAAGTTTCTGAAATCGAGCTTATCATCATTGTACTGCTGTTTGAAACAATTAACTTTTTTCGGTTGATTCATCGACTTAAAAACGCATCAGCTTTGTTAAGTTTTTACTAATCAAATGTTAAAGTACATATGACATTATACTGCTACCGCACCCTACCGATTCAAAAATACCACCAAAAGTAGCACTTTTATTAGCGACTTAGGTTGAAAAAAGAAGGTTCGTATTAATACACTCGCGTCGCAAGCGTTATTAAGTATGAAAGCACTGCTTAAAATGTTAGAGCAGTTTAAGACTATTCCTGAAAAAAAAATCATCCCGACCTATATAAGTCTGACCTACAATCATCGACTCTTGAAAAATTTTAATAAAACTATGAAAAATCAACAAGACCAAATAAGCGTGTTGACTTCGTTTATAGACAATCAAAAGAAAAACTCCTCAAATTTACTGGATTACGACTCATTTGAAGCCAAATTTTAGGAAACGATGCCTAATTCTCAAGAAAAGATAGTTGAACATTCTTCCCAGATAATTTTTTTTGAAATTTTCGTTTTCAAATATGACGCCACTGTGTCATACTCACTTGGTCGTCTGATGGGTTCTGTGGCTCCACATGCCGACAGAATCAGCCACTCTTCGGATGGTACATTTATGTCCAGAGTGAATGAGCGATCTTTCTGAGAACAAACAGTCATCTCAAGGCATTGTCCTAGCTCTTACAAACAGAGAATATAGGTACTAAATGTTACCTTGATGTTGATGGCCACATCCAAAGGAATGCCTTGTCTAAAATGGGCAGTTTTCATGTTGAAATCAGCACAGAAACTCGTGATGGGTATTCCTCTCTAAAACATAATTACACAGTTATTCGAGTTTCTTTGTAGTAGCTAGGATGGTATTCCTATATCTTTGCATAAAGAGTGCTGATTTAAATTATTTGGACAAAATGAAAACTTGAAAATTCAAACGCGTTTTTCTCAAATTGTATTGGTTTTCGACAGAAAAATGATGAAAACCAATCTCGCCCAAAATTTATCACTTTTGGCTTTGTTTAGTCAATCAAAAATTACTCCAGGGTCCAGGTAGGGCTATTTGAGGAAATGCTGCACGTTTCCTGTCACAGTCATATCCCGAAACCAAGCTCTCCACTGCTTCCTGTTTTGTGCCAGGTCTTTGCATCGTTCGCACCACTTACTCTCCCATGTCTAGATCGCCATTTTGGGCGGCTTCACATGAGTTTTAATATCATCTCCGAAAATGCTGCTCCGCTATTTTCTGCTGCTACCTAGGGTTCGTCGCCAGGCGTCTCCTTTTTCAAATTCTAGGGCAGCATTCGGGATCTCCGAGAGGTCCAAGCTAAGAACATGACAAGCCACTTCAGCCTTTTGAGTTGTATGGTAAATGCTATGCTTTTATCCAGTTTTGCTTTCGGCCATAAGTGTCATGTTGGCAGGTTGTATCCATTGTAGAGAATCTTTCGCAAGCACTTACTTTCAAAGCCCTCCATTCGTTTGACATCAGATTCTTTGATGACCCAAGTTTCGACGCCATTAAGCAGAACACGTCTGACGCAAGCTTTGTAGATTTGGGATTTAGCGCTTTCGAGAATTTTCCTTTGATTCCAAATGTGCTTTAGCTTGTTAAAATTTCCGGCTGCCTTTTTTAACATACCACAACTCAATTGGATTTTACTTCCCAAAAAAAGTAAAGCCTTCTACTCTATTTCTTGATTGTTGACAGTAAATTTCTGGACAACGCTGTGAGAGCAGAATTTGTTCTTGTCAACATTTATTTCGAGTCCAACGTACGCTGTATTTTCGGCCACTCAATCAAGGAGCTTCTGTGCGTCTTCCGGGTTATTGTCGAGCAGGCAGATGTATCTACAAAATCCAGATCCGCAACAACCATGTCGCCTTGTGCGATTCCAAGACTTTCTCCTTCGAGGGCTCTGGATATTACTCAGTCGATGGTCAGATTTAAAATGAAGGGTGCCAAGATTGACCCTTGTCTGACACCACTGAGATCACTAAAATTTCTTGAAATGCTATCAGAGACTCATTTGACTAGGTTTCAGTGCACTAAGACTTCAAAAGATTGATTGGACTATCAGTCAGACAAAGGTCATGGCAAATTTTTAACTTTCTCTATCTACACTACGGAACGCTGCTTTGGATATCAATGAATATCAGATTTGTGTTTCGTTTATAAAGTTCTCTTAGTTCTAAGATCTACCGAATTGAGAAAACATGGTCTCGGCAGCCTCGTTTGGGTTTAAAACCTGCCTGGTTTTTCCTTGCATACCTGTCGCATGCTGGCTTAAGTCAAACTTTCAGTACGGCTTTGAAAACTTCAAAGGCGATTACAAGCAGAGATTTTACAAAGGAGATCGGTTAGCTAAAAGAAAAGTTTTTGGTTAAGTTTTGGATGAAATTGGATACCTCCAAAAAGCTATGGGCTGCTATGTTTACAATTGCTATGGGCTGCGCACTGATTGATTGCATTTCCAATGGGCCTGGAGCTGGTCTATTTAGAAGTATTTCGAAATGCCGGGTCCATTCCTCTACAAGCTCTTTTGCGTCAATTATCAGACCGCCGTTTGAATCTTTCAGTGATTCGATCTGGGGTTTTCCTTTGCCTGCTAGCTGCTTTACAATGAAGATGCTTTTTGAAGGCTTTCTGATTCGTCAGCCAGGACAAGTTCTTCGGTCATATTACAGTAGTATGTTTTTATGTCTATGCAGACTTATTTTCTTTCCGTAATTTTGCCTTTGCCGTTTTGTTTCTGGCTCTGGCACGTTTTTCAATTACGTTTATTGTATCACTGCTAAGCCAAGGACTTGGTTTTTGTTTAGTGAAGCCAAGGGTAGTTTCAGCTGCTTATTGTATCGTGGATTTTAATTCGACCCACGCTTTGTCGAGGTCGACTTCAACATTGAGCGATGACTTTCCTAATGCTGATTGGTATTGATAGGCCTTTTCTGGCTTTTTGAGTGCAGCTGTTTTGTATTTCACTTTTTTTCACTTGCTTGGTGTACGCTTTCTGCCTGAGGCGAACAGGGGCAAAGACTGGTTTATGGTCTGCGTGTCAGCTTTTGATTAGCAGTAAACGTATCGATAATACTGAATTGGCTCCTTCGGGATACCATGAAATAGTTTATTTGATTTTTAGTACGCCTGTCATTTCAGCCCCAGGTGCGTGAAAAACAATGTTTCTTCAAAAAATACTCCAAACCATTTGTTCATTTACTGACAAAACTATACCACTGCAAGCCTCTTATGTAGACCAATAAAAATCAAGAAGGGTGTTATTTCCAAGTGTGTGGCTAATAAAATTACATTTTTTGGCTATTTTGGCTATTAAAGGAAAACTAGGAAGTAAAGCACCTCCGGTGCTTCGAATTTATGACAACTCATAAAAACGGCATATATTGGAAATAATATTTGCATCCTTCGAGTGTACTCCTGACATAACATAAGTATTACACAGGGTTGGTAATTTCAAATTTTGTTAAGTTAGTCAAGTTTTTTTTTATTCAAATTATGAAAACCATACAATTTTGTGATTCTTTTATATTAGTTCATTGAAAATTTTTTAAATGACAGGAAAACGTCACATCTCGAAAAATAAAAGCAATTGAACAGTCGCATTTGGACGCAAGATTTGCAACTTCTCAGAGTACTCACAACAGTCAACTACAGTGCCATATCCCGAAAACTACAAAAAGTTGAGCACTCATATTTGGGTGCACGATTCGCAACCCCTGAGAGTACTCTGACAGCCCCCCAACTTCAGGGCTAGGAATTCCACAAATTGTGAAAAAAACTAGGTTTTCTGAAAAAACTCTTAAAAAATCATAGAAATGTCATATCTCAAAAACTACAAGTATATAAGCAGTCATACTTAAAGGAAAAACTCGCAACCCCTAATAACATCAGATGGGATCAAAAGAAAATTTTTAAATCCAAGTTCTTTGGACAATAAAGAAAAACACTACAAACATCACATCTCGGAAACAAAAAGCATTAGAGCAGTCGCATTTGGACGCAACACTTCAACATGACGCTCCTGAGAGCACCCTCACAGTACCCAATTACAAGTTTGAGAAATTCAAATCCTTTGAACTTTTTATAATCCATGTTTTCTGAAAAATTAGAAAGAAATCATAAAACACTTCATATCATGAAAACTACCAAGATTGGAGCAGTCATATTTGGAGGCAAGATACGCAATCCCTGAGATTACTCTGCCAGCCCCCATTACAGAAATAGGAATTTCAAATTTTGAAAAAAATCAAGTTCCAAGTTTTCTGAAATTTTTTTCGAAAAAATCACAAAAACGTCATATTTCAAAAGTACAAGGATTTGAGCAGTCACATTTTCAGGAAAAAAATTGCAAATCCTGGTAGTACCCTGACAGAGCCTCACTATAGAGATGAGAACTTCAATTTTAGTGAATTTTTCTATATCTGAGTTCTTTGAAAAACTTAAGAAAAAATCCTGAAAACCGTCATATCTCCAAAACTACAAGGATTTGAGCAGTCACATTCAGAGGCAAGAGTCGCGAGCCCTGAGAGTACCTTCGCAGTTTCCAATAACAGGATTGAGAACTTCAAAATTTTCGAATTTTTTAAACTCTATGTTTGTTTGAAAAAATCGTAAAAAAACGTCAAAGATTAGAGAAGTGAGATTTGGAGGCAAGATTCGCAATCCCTCAGAGTACCCTGACAGCACCCAAGTACAGGGTTCAGAATTTCATATTTTGTAAATACTTTTCAAGTTACTTTTTTTAAACTGTTGAAAAATCTCGAAAATTGCCGTATCTCGTAAACTAAATAGATTTGGTAACTCATATATGGAGGCCACAATCGCAACACCTGAGGAAGCCCTGACAGCATCCCCATATTGGGTTGCTAATTTCAAACTTGGTAAAATAAACATTGAAATTGAGCTGGAAAATCAAAAAAAAATCATAACCATTGCAATATACGATATAGCTTAAACATGCAAAAATAATACGTTGAAAAAGCTTAACCATGGCGAGATAGTGAAGCCCGCATTTAAATATATAACTAGCATTCTCGACGAATAGCTTTTGGGACGAAAAGTTGACAAAATTAATTGCTTGAAACAAACTTTCACAAGTACAGAAAGACTTCGGTGCTTCGAAATTTTTCGACAACTCATGAAAAAAACCGCATATATTGCAAACAACATCTGCAAACTTTTAGTGTGCTCTGACTGCACCTAATTACAGGTTTGGCAATTTCGAACTTTTAAATTTTTTTTGAATTCCCATTTTAAAAGCGTCATCTCGGAAACTTATTGGGCCTCTGGAGAAATTTGGAAGCCAGATTTGTAAACACTGAGACTCCCTGAGAGCACCATACTATAGGGTTAAGAATCCAAAATTTTGTGAACTTTTTTAAACCTAAGATTCCCAAAAAAAAAAATTGAAAAAAAAAAAACGTCTTATCTCGGAAACTAAAAGGATTTGAGCATTCATATTAAGAGGGATGATTTGAGACGCCTGGGTGTACGCTGACAATAAGGTTGTATCTTCATCAAGTTAGTAGTTTCGAATTTTTTGAATTTCTTTGTAGATAAATCTTTGACAAATTTTTTTAAAAAATCGAAAAACGTCACATCTCGGAAACTAAAAGCATTTGAGCAGTCGCGTTTAGCAGTCGCATGTGGCAAGATTTGCAACTCTTTAGAGTACCCTGACAACACCGAATTATACAGTTAGGAATTTCAAATTTTTAAAATTAATTAATTTTAACTTTCTGAAAACTTTGAAAAAATCACAAAAAACGTCACATCTCGAAAACTACAAAGAATTGAGCAGTGATATTTGGAGGCAAGATTCGCAATCCTTGAGAGTACTTTGACAGGACCTAACTACAGGGTTGGGAATTTCAAATTTTTAAAGAAAAGAAATAATTCAAGTTTCTGAAAAATTTTGAAAAAATCGCAAAAAACGTCATATCTCGAAAACTACAAAGAATTGAGGAGTCATACTTGGAGGAAAAATTCGCAATCTTTGAGAGTACTCCGACAGACCTAACTAATAATACTAATAATTTAAGTTTTCTGAAAAATTTTGTGTACTCCGACAGGACTTAACTACAGGGTTGGTAATTTCAGATTTTTAAAAACTAATAATAATTTAAGTTTTCTGAAAAATTTTGAAAAAATCACAAAAAAAGTCATATCTCGAAAACTACAAGGATTTGAACAGTCATATTTGGAGGCAAGATTTGTAACTCCTTAGAGTACTCCGACAGCACCCAACTACAGGGTTGGGAACTTCAAGTTTTGTAAATTATTTTGTTATTCAAAATTTCTGAAAATTTTTGAAAAAATCTCAAAAATCGTCTTATCTCGTTAACTAAAATGATTCGGGCATTCAAAATTGGAGGCCAAATTCGCGACCCCTAATTCGATATTGGGCTGCTTAACCTAAGCTTGGTAAAATAACCACTAAAATCAAATTGGAAAAAAATCGAAAAAAATTCTTAACCATTGCAATATACGATATAGCTTAAAAATGCAAAAATAATACGTTGAAAAAGCTAAAACATGGCGAGATAGTGAAGCCCGTATTTAAATATATAATAGATTTTTAAAAACTAATAATAATTTAAGTTTTCAGAAAAATTTTGAAAAAATCACAAAAAACGTCATATCTCGAAAACTACAAGGATTTGAACAGTCATATTTGGAAGCAAGATTTGTAACTCCTTAGAGTACTCCGACAGCACCCAACTACAGGGTTCGGAACTTCAAGTTTTGTAAATTATTTTTTTATTTAAAATTTCTGAAAATTTTTGAAAAAATCTCAAAAATCGTCTTTTCTCGTTAACTAAAATGATTCGGACATTCAAAATTGGAAGCCAAATTTGCAACCCCTAATTCGATATTGGGCTGCTTAACCTAAGCTTGGTAAAGTAACCACTAAAATCAAATTGGAAAATCGAAAAAAAATTCTTAACCATTGCAATATACGATATAGCTTAAACATGCAAAAATAATACGTTGAAAAAGCTTAAACATGGTGAGATAGTGAAGCCCGCATTTAAATATATAATAGATAATAGATGAAGAGATAATAGATGTAATAGATAAATATGTTTCAGAAGAGCTGAGAAAAATATACCCTGTTTTAATACTGTTGGGCTACATGAGAGGCTTGTAGTGATATGGTTTTGTCAGTAAAGGAACTAATAGGTTTGGAATAATTTTATAATTGACTACAAACGCCCAAAATTGTTGTAATTTTCAGGGTAATATTTTAATCTGAGTTTTGCAAAAACAAATTGCACTATATCAAATCGGTTAAAATTTGAAGCAAGGTTGATCTTCATCATTTTTTGTCTAAAATCATCCAATATGAGAACAAAGCGTTTCAAATTTCAAGTTTTAAATTGTCCGGATAATTTAAATCAGCAGTGTATACTAGACCAAAAGGTTTTCAAGGCACAGGATAATTGAAAATGTTATAGAAACAAGTCAATAATTAATCTGCTCTGCATTGCCCAGTTTCGGATTTAGGCCGTATTTGTCAAAAAAAACACCAACACCAGTGGCTTCAAAAAATACAAAAACGAGGTCATGTGATGTGATGATAGACAAGACTATCTGTCAAGACTATTCCTCTGAAGTCAAAAATAACCACAATCTTTAGTCGGATACATTAGCCACTTAAGTCATCTTACCTCCCCAAAAATGACGAAAGAGAACATCGCCACATAAACCACGAGAGAAAGTCCAGAAGAATTTTGACAAAAAGTTTGAAGACTGGATTAATCAAGACTTGAAATCATTTTGATGACTGGATTAACCAAGCTTAACTAACTTGTCCTAACATGGGTCCCAGAGGGGGAGCAGGAGCGGCCATGCCAGCTGGCAAAACAGTCTTGATCACACTGCTCAACTCTTTCTTCTTCCCAGCTAGAAACTTCCGTGGAGTTTTCAGCGACTGAAAGGGTCAAATGATATCATCCTCTAGCACCGCAGATAAATCTCTGTAACTGATATTTGAGCATTGCTTACCGCTGTCCCAAACTTTTTCGACATTTCTAGCCTGAAGACAAAATTTTAAATGTTACCAGATTTATAAAATGGTACTGTTTTGCGAAACTAGGAGACAACATTTTACCCCAAAAACGGATCATTTTTGGCTTTTAGTCGCTCAAAAATAAGCTAAAACTTCTGTATCAATTACCGAAGAAGAAGAAGAAGAAGAAGAAAGAACACTTGAAATACTATACAATAAAGAGCCGAGGCATCAGTGTAGCAAAGTGTAAATAATAAAATTGGTTATAAATTCATTGGTTACATCAAACAAAAACAAAACATCAGAAAACAAGCAATAAACAAAACAAAAAAAACAAAATCGGTTACAGTTCGGAAATTGGTTGATTAAAGTATATGAAGTTTCGGATACTATAGAAAAATAAAGGTTTAAGAATTAGGAACAAGCTGGTAATAAAACTTTACAAACAATTTTACAGATAGTCCAATTATACAGCGTATATACAGAGTATATACAGTTTCTCTTTCAAGCAATGTGTGAAAAATTAAACTGAATTAAAACATATAGAACTAGCAAAAACGGAAATCACGCCACGTATTTGTATTAGTACATATAGGATTGTTTCTCAATTCACTCACGTAAAATTCTTTCAATTTTTTCTTGAATTCTGTTTTCGATTTTTCTAAATTGCGCAAAATTATGGGCAGTGAATTCCATTTCTTAGAAGTCAAATGAAAAAATGATTTTTGTAGAGAAGCAGTCGAACAATGTTTGTCAAAAATAATTTGTTTCGTTCTTTCGTTGAGCCTATAATTGGCAGTCGGTAGTCTCAGTGTATTTTCAAAAGCCTTCTTTTTGTTTGAAAGATATTGGTATAAGTATGTTATACACTTTAACTCAATTCTTTTCTCGATTCCAATGAACGATTTGCTAATGCGAAGAAGGGAAGAAGATTTAAATTTCGATCTGAAATATGTTCTTTTTAGCGCCCAGTTCAACTGTTTCTCCAAAGATAGCATCAAAGTAGCATTAATTTGTTGTAAAAAAATTGCTGAATAATCTAAATGTGATAAAACAAGACAATGAAGCAAGGCAACTAATGATAATGTCGGCAGTTGTTGTCCAATTGTATCAATAGTTTTAATCCCTTGGGCCATTTTTTGGAGAATTGTTTTGATTTGAGCATGAAAAGATAAACTTGAATCAAGAATTATGCCTAAATATTTGCATTCTGATTTTTTGGCTACAAAATGCCCACTAACTACTAGTTTATCAGTATCCACATTTTTGCTATCATTTTTTTGACAAAATGTTATAAATTCCGATTTAGATGCATTCAGATTCAATTGGTTCTCTGCAAAAAATTCCGTTAGATTATTGAGTGATTTTTGCAATCGATTCAAAGCATCCTCAGAAATTATAGAAGAGGAAAAAACCATACAGTCGTCAGCATATTGAACTAAAGTACAACCTTCATATAATCGCTCTTGTATGCCATTAACATATAAATTGAACAACAACGGACCAAGTACCGTTCCTTGTGGGACACCTCGTTTTATTTCAATCCAGTCTGAAAAAATTCCATTGACGTTTACTCTTTGAATACGTTTGTTTAGGAAGCTAGCAATTAAAGCATTTGCTCCATTTGAAAAACCGAGAGAAAGCATTTTTTCAATTAAAACTTCATGCGAAATAGAATCAAAAGCCTTGGACAGATCTAATAAAGCTGCATGTACGATTTTTTTTGAATCTATTTGATTTCGAATACTTTCTGTCACATAAACAAGAGCATCTTGTGTTGAAATGTTTTTGCGAAATCCGAATTGAAATGGTGTCATTATTTGAAATTTGTCAAGATGTTCTGTTATTTGGGCATGTAAAATTTTTTCAAAAATTTTAGAAAAAGCACAAGTTATTGATATTGGCCGATAATTTTTTGCATCCATTGGGTCATCTTTTTTAAACAAAGGGGTTACGTTTGCTTTTTTCAGTTCGATCGGGAAAATGTTCTCATCTAAGCAAGTATTTATGACAAAAGTTAAATGTGGAACTATAACTGATTGACCGTCAATGATTGCCCAAGCAGGTACGGTACAAGGTCCGAGAGGTTTTCTAACATTGATTTTTCGAACTATATCAAAGCATTGCTTCACTGTAATGTGTTGAAAATGAAAAGGTGCAGATTCAGAGACAGATTTGTTGTAATTCGGAGGCTTTTTAGCGCCGAAAAATTCGCCTAAGTTTGAAAAAATATAATTTAAATGATTGGCAATTTTTTTGTCTTGGGTTATCATTTCACTGAAGGAATTTCGTAGAACTGTAATTCGATTGTTGCCAGAACATGTACCTCTAACTTGGTTAATATATTTCCATTTTTGTTGGATAGTGCTGAGAAGTGAAAAACAATTTTTTGAATGATCGAGTTGTTTACTTCTAATCAATTGGCTCATTTGATTACGTAAAAACTGGTTTTTTGACCAATTATCGCTTGTGCTTTGACTGCGATATGATCTGAGTGAATTCTGTTTCTTAGTCAACAATTGCTGACATTCTGAATCGAACCATTCCGTTTTCAACACGTTTTTTGGTTTAAAATTACAAACAAACTTTTTTTCGATAGGAGCATGTTGCTGTAGAGCACAAGAAATTAAATAAATCATCGTCGAGAACATGTTTTGTGCGTCTGTACATTGATATAAGAGATACCAAGGAAGAGCGGAGAGTGAATTGCAAAATTCATTTTTCTGATAATTTTTCTTATTGAAAGTCGAAATTATCCTCGGTAAAATTTTGCCGCATTTTATATCCGTCAAAATAAATGAAGCAAAATGGTCAGTTTTATAAGGTGTATCAAAACAAAATTCAATGCCGTTTGTTTCATAGTCACTGATTATGTAGTCGATATGAGTTTTTGTTGAGGAACTAATTCTGGTCTCATCGTTTGGACAAAAAACCTTCAATCCATATGGAATAATTATAGAATCTAAATTTTTTTTTTCTTTGCTATCCAGATAATTTATGTTATAATCACCCAGAAGCGTAATTTTATTAGAAACTGAAAATGCATTATCTATGTTAAGCGTTAATTGTTCCAAAAAATCAATAAAGTTTGATCTGCTTGGGTTATAACACAAATTAACTAACATTTTTTCTTTACTCGAAATGTTAAATGTAGATTTGCACTCAACCCACACTGACTCATATTTTTCTTTATCAAATAAATTTAAATCAGGCCTCAATTTCGGAGCCAATTTGACTGGTATATATAACAAAACGCCACCGCCTTTCTTTTTTACCGCTGATTGCCTATCATATCTGAACATCGCATGCGTTCTAGGTTGGAAATTCCATAAATTGTCACTATCTTCTTTTTTAAGCCACGTTTCGGAAATTCCTATAATTGTATTTTCGCCCATATCATCAAGAAATTTTTTCAATTGCATCCGTTTTCTAATAATACTTTGAAAATTCAAATGAACAAATTTAAGATTTGCACAATTTTTTGAGCAGATACCGTAGACTGTTTCAATGGTTTCAATAGGACCAGGGTTTTTTTCAACATCCCCACTTTGGGTCAGTTACAACGCGAAAAGGAAAAGATGAGTCAGTGTGGTAGCTCTCCGCTCATTTATCCCACATTTCGATGATAATATCTTTTGCTGGCTAGTTTTTTCTTTAAATTCCATCTGAGCCTTGGAAATTAGAAAAATTGCACATAACAACCAGAATTTAATATTCAGCATAATAAGTTAAATAAATTAAAAAATCGCCAAAGTTTGCACCAAGAAAAAATGCGAAACTAGTATTTCCTAAAAAATTTTGCACCGTTTAGGAAAAATTGTAACATTTCTGCCGTTTTTGGATCTAAATTTGATGATTGTTGGGTTTGCTTCATTCTGGGGCGGGTTGTAATCTCACATGTGTTTGCATTAATATCAGAACCTCTAAAAGAATCTCTAAAACTTTGCACCAAAATTTCAACACCCCCATCAGAAGGATGCAAACCATCCGAGCTAAGCGCATCGGTATTTTGACTAAAATTTTTGTTTATGTCTAAAATATCCAATTTTACTTCGCCCAAGTCTTTTACATTCCGTACTAAATTAAGAATTTGCTTGTTTAGCTTCTGTACATTTGGATTAAAATCTTTTCTGAAAGCGCCTAAGGGAGTTACAGTACATAGTGAAATTGTTTCTGGGGAGAATTTATGATTTATGAGATAAATTAGTTTTTCCAAGCTACTCACGGCTTCCTTCGCGTCGAAATCACTTGAGAGGCAGTCATTTATTCCAATTAGCGTAGTTAAATGTTTAAAATGTCGCGATTTACTGTTTCTCACGCGTTCCAGCAATGCAGAAATTTTGTGCCCACCAAATCCTCTCGCCAACACATTTTCCGATATTTGTTCCCCAGTGATTCTGTTAACAATTGAGTCTCCCAGTAATAGGCCAGAATATTCTCCTTCTCGTGGTAAAAATAAATGTTTTCGTTGCTGGTCGAATTTTTCTTCTTGAATATTGGTTGCTTGTATTTTGATTTCTTGGTTATTCTTGCTTTCTTGGTTATTTTCGCTTCGTTTGTTCTGATTTCTGCTCCGAGTTCCAATCTTGCTCCATTCATTTTCAAATTTGTTTTCTGTAATTTTCGAATTGCCCGTGTTTTTAAAATTTTCTAGATCAATAAATTTGTTTCCTCTTTCTTCCTCTTTCGTTGATACAGTTAAGTTTTCGATAATTCGTTTAAAATAAGTAACATTTTCGACCAAGTCTTTATACAGCTCGTATTTCAATTCGTCGTTCAAATTTCGGAAAGTTTCGAGGTCAAACATGTTGGCGATTAAAAGCGAAATTAAAAATAAGACATTAAAATGAACCGACTGATCGCTAGAAAATTAATTTGGTTGTGAAAATGAACCGACTGATCGCTAGAAATTTAATTTAGTTTTGTCAACCCACACTGACAAAACTATATCAAAGTAGGCCTTCCAAGCAGCTCAACAAAGTTTAAGAAGGGTATAATAAATTACGCAATTCGTTCAAAAACAGTTTTCAAAAAAATAGGTGTTGTATATAGTAAAAATGAGATTTATTGGCTTTGAAAGAAAACTAATTTAACTTATTTATTTTTCCGAGATTTTACGCTCATTTTGACAAAGTTCTGTCAGTAATTATCGCAGTAATTATAACTTAATTTTTAATCGACTGAATAAACCAAAATGATCGGTTTTTGGAGTAACATTTTGGGTCCGAATTTCGCAAACAAAATGCACTATTAGTCTGCTAAACTTTGAAGCAAATTTCGTGTTCATCGTTTTTCACCTAACAGCAACCCAATTTAGAAAAACGCGTTTTGAGTTCCAAGTTTTGCGCTCTTCTGGATAGCTTAAATCAGCACTACGTTTGTTTTTGTTTTCTATCCGTTTCTTTTCTGTACTGTATGTTTGTTTTATTTTCTATAGAGAGTTGCAAAAAGTTCGGACAGACAGAAATAATTAAAAAGAGCAATCTGCTAATTTTGCGCAATTTTTGCATGCAAATTTGAAATTTTAGGTGACATTGAGACATATTTTCTGTCTGAAAAATTAGCTTTTGCTCGTAAAAATTGTCTGAAAAAGGCCATTTGCTCTTTTTAATTATTTTTGTCTGTCCGAACTTTTTGCTACTAATTATATATATTCAGTGAATGCAGCTTTTTAGCGACTCAAGGCCACCTAAATTTTCAAATTTGCTTGCAAAGATGCGTAAAACTTGCAGATTGCTCTTTTGAACTAATTCTGTCTGTTCCAGTTTTTAGCAACTTCACCAGTATTGAAATCGAAATTGGAAAATCTGAACAGATGTCAGATGATAGAGCATCCTCGTACAAAATAATTGCCTTGCAGGCGACTGAATTTAAGATCAGCTCATCACAAGGCAGATGACTTACCACTGAGGTAAAATACTCATGTCATTAAAATAATAAAAGGAAAAAAAATGCTTCAAAGTAAATTGACCAACTAGACTGTTTACGGAAGATTAAACTATATGTTAATTTGAGAAATGTCAGTTTATACAAATCTGGTTTTCATAGAGCAAACTACAGAAAGTAAACAGATCTATATTGTTTTGGCAACAGATAGTTCAATTCAGTCAGCTTTTTCTTCTTTCCCTTCGCCGTTAATCTTTTTAAACTCTTTTCTCCAATAAGCTTTGACGTAGAAATTACTAAACAACGCAATCATCGAGAAAGCGTAGAACAAAGAGTAGATGCAATACTGTCCCAAATACCATCCATAAGTTATAGGAACCAGGTCCGTATAGAACTGGGCCAGTTGCATCTGGGTAAGTCTCTTCTTGATAACCTGGGAGGCAACCAGGGGCGATCCAGCAGCCGACAGTCCGTAATAGGCGTACATGAAGACATGTATTAAAGAGTTCACACCCATTGGGTAGCTGAACGATATTCTGTACCCCGTGATAACCCCAAAGTTGCACAATAGAACCATAGTGGCATGATGAAACACGTGAAGAAAAGTGATTTGTCTACGTTTATGTCGAATGACCATAAAGACTGTGTCGAGTAGCTCAAACACTTTGGAGAAATAGTAAATGTTGAAGGCTATTTTGGTTGGCAAGTTGGTTTTCCTCGTGAAGAGCTCACCTTTCAAGTATATTCCCAGGAAGAAAAGGATCACGCACACTCCATTCAAAATGCTGCATGCAAAATTGTAAATGATCATCACCTACATTAATGAGACGTTAACTGTGCACGAGGAGAGGCAATTGTTTGAAATTCTTATGACTAACGTTTTTAAATGACCTTTTATGGGATATAGTAACTATGAAGACCGTATGATACTTAGTTCCCCCATACACAAATATGTTATATTTGTATCCCCAGTTACAAAAAAGTAGGCGAAGCTGTGTAATCAAAAGCAAAATGCCATTTGAAATCACAAAAGAACAGTTAGCGTTAAAAAACGTTTGAGATGGGTTAAACATCTCTATTTTGTACACTAATTTGATCAAACTCCAACCTAGTGAAAACATCGGTTCATTCAAAAAAATTTCGTGGAAGTTAAAAAGTAATTTGATGAACGAAACCAAGTTTAAAAACAATGATAGCCGGTTACTGCGCAAGTAGAACAGAACATTCCGACCACAGTCTTACAAACAACAACACAATTTTCGAAGTAGGGTCGTTTTTTGGCGTGGCGGGATAGAAGGATTTTAACGAAAAACCAGAGCTTGGGCATATTCGACGGTCATATTAAAACGGGAAATTGGAGAAAAATTTACAAGAAAACCGTCAAAAACTTTTTTTTTGCAGTTTTTCATTTCAAGAAGGCACTAAAATACTCGAAGTAAACTAACGTTACTCAAGTAAAACTAAGTTTTTACATTTTAAATAAAATTATTGTAAGCTTTTAAGCAATTAAAATCAGAATGCTCCCTGGCTTCCGTCGCTCGAAATAAGACGAAAAATCAAAAATTTCAAGCCGGTTTTTCTCGACAGTTTTTTGAAATTTTTGAAGTTCGAATCACGACTGAAAGGTCTTTAACATGATACATCACTCAACTCTATCCAATGATTATATGCGGTAGCTGATTTTGTGTGGAAAAGAAAAAAACCAAAACAGACCCGAATACAACATCCTTTCCATTTTTCAAATGCTCGGAACCACAACCATAGCCCGATTCCAACTTTTTTTAATTGGGTCGTTTTTTTGTTTTTGGTGTGATGAACAAATCTAAACTAAATAATTTGAAACCGATGATAAAAAATTAAGGACATTTGTCAACAGTTTTTCACATAAAATATATATAAAATTCGAAAAAAAACTTCACAAAATTTTTCGCAGAACTTTTTTTGATTCGTTCTTAAATTTTTTTAACAAGCAGGCGCTAAAAGAATTCTCGGTAACTAATTTCACTTAATGAAACTAAGTGATAATTAAATTTAAAAATTAAAACAAACTTTCATAGGCATATTACAAGCCTTCTCGCTCGCTTCATTCGCTTTAAATTAGACAAATAAAAAAACTCAAACCTGTTTTTCTCAAATTTGGGGAATTTTTTTGGAACTTTTTAATCTCGTTCGAATCACGACTGAAAGGGCTTTGATATGATATATTACACGACAAATTTCTATGATTATTTGCAGTACGCGATTTTGTGTGGTAAATAAAAAATTTTAAAAAACAAGGACAGCCTGTTACTGCACAGAATGTTCCAAAAAAGCACAGAATGTTCCGACTTGTCTTAAAAAACACAATTTTTTTCTAATTAGTGTCCTGTGTGGTGTCATAGTCAGATCTGAACGAAAAAAAAATATAAACTAGGTATATTCGACTGTCACAGTCAAATATGCAAACAGTTTCTGAAAACTGAATTTAAAAAAAAAACAAAAAAACGTAAAATTTAAAAAACAGCAAATTGGCGCTAAAACCAAAGTTTTACGGCTTAAAGTAGCTATTGTCGGAACAAAAAAAAGATACAAAGTCGCAACTAAATATCGTCTAAACATTTTCGCAGATGCCTATTTTGAAGGCGAAAAACATTATTTGATAACGGAGCATTTTTTCGATAAGTGAGTTAGGACCGTGTCGGTTAACTCATAGAGTAATTTCGGATAGGGTACACCGTCTGCTCGTCACGCTATCTTATTTTCGGCCGGATAGATTCGTGCAACTTCTTAGTCTAATACCGATCCTAATCTTACTCTTATACTATCTAGTCTCAGGTTGTTTAACTAGTCTCTGCTAGGCTCAATAGATCTAGGGTATACTGGTTTATTGCGGCTGCTGAAGTGCTCGGGAGAGTCCAACTAATTTCTAAGTTAAATTCAAATCTCTCTGGTGCTGAAATTACAAGTAACTTCAGCACTTACAAATAAGTGGGTTGTTAGTTAGATGGATCATGATTGGTTAATATTAAATACTTTACATTGGTAAAATATCTAATTTATCCAATCATAAAATGTAGTTTAGATCAGGTTCCACCCATCCGGGTTTTACAGAGTTTTTTAGAATAGTTCTTCTGCAATTCGAAGGATGGATGATGGAAGTTGGTGTTTGGCGAACATCTTATTTCTTCTGTTTCCTTTTTGTTAAAGAAGTTCCAGGAAGCTGGAGTTAGAGACATAAGACATTGTGTCTTCTAGTGACAACGACTAAGTCTTCGCAACAAACTCAAATCTGATTTCAGAATGGTTGGCTATGTCAGGTTTTTCTGTTCTGCGTGGAGAACTTCTTTTGTGTCTGATCTAGTTTGGGAATGGCGTGGAGATTGTGCGTGGAGGGGATGCCTGGTTACTCGGATCTGTACGTATACTTGAACATCGAGGTGGTCATTGGTCTAGTTCAATGAAGTCCTTTTCTGCGAAGTCAAGTCGTACTCTAAATCCTTTGAGTTGTGATTGTGAGTGGCATATCGATTGTGGTTGGTCATTCTCTCTCGAGTGTAGTGGGGTCGTTTTGTCTTTAGATGTTCGTCCTTGGTGTTGTATTCTGATCTATGTATTGCATAATGTAATTTACATTTTATAAAACATTTATTAGTTTAATATTTTTTAATCATGATTTTAGTTAGTTGTTTTCACAAAAGCTTTTTGTTTTAGTTTGGTTATTTTGAAGAGTTACTCACACTTGAGTAGCTCTTATTAAAAATAGAGGTGTGGTCACAAAGCGTGGATGTAGCGCGGTGGGTTAGGCCGGCTATAGAGCATGCTCAGGACGTCCTTCCTGGTGGGTTAGGCCAGGAATGGGAGTATGATTTCATGCGGTTTTTGTGAGGGGTCCTGTTATGTGACAACGTTTTATGTTGGGTTTGTTGTGGTTTTTCTTATGTTTTGTTGGTTGTGTCCTTTTTTCAAAAATCAAATTGTTTGTGGTATGGGTTTGTCTTTCGACTTTTTTGTGTTTTATTATTTCTTTCTTAGACTTTATAATAGTCTTCAAAAGAATAAATTATCCAGTTTTAAACTGGGTTAATCCGGTTTGGGTACCGTTGGTTTCCTTTTCTTAGTCATGCTGTTATTCTATGATTTGTGGTATTTAGTAAGCTGCGTTGGTTAGTTTTGTTTAGTATATGATTCCTTTCCAACCGGGTTAAAGGAAAGTTTGAAACATGTTATTATATGTTAGAGTTGTTGAGTGTGAAAACTTGAAACTGAAATTCATTATTTTAAACAATTCTTCGTGGGCGAGCTGTGCGAGTGTGGATAGAATTTCTGTGCGAATGAATGAAAATATCAAAAGGTTAGTACTGCAATTGCATTTTATTAATTTACTGCATAGAATTTGGAAATTTACTGCTAGTTATGGGGGAATTTTAAGTTACAAATTTTCATCATAATTAAATTTACTGCTTGTGGGGAAAATTTTAGAAATGAATTTACTGCATTGGTATTAAATTTATAAATTTATAAGTGGAAGAGATTAATAGAATTGTTGAAATCTTGTTTGATGAAATTTGCGATTTTTATTTGTCTTTTGTGGTTTTTGTAGGTGATCGTCGGATGAAGGCTAAAAATCTAAAGAAAACATGGATAAAGTATGGTGAGTTTTTTAATATTTTAATTAGTTAGTTATATTCATTTAATTCATACTTACCTGTTAGTCGTCGGGGAAAAAACCGTGGGGGAAGATGTCGTGAATTAGTTCTGAAGTTGTTAGTAGTTTAGCTAAGATGCGGATGATATTTTTAGTTTGAAGCAGTGGCCAAAGCAATTGAAGTGCCTTAATAGTGGTTAGTTCTTCAGTGCCAACTGCAAACTCATAAGGTGTGTTTTGGATTAGATTATATAATTTGTGATTGAATTTAGTGTTGTGGATGAATTCTAAAATTGGGATTTCTATGGGTTGTACAAACTCGTGCGGGAGAAGGAAGGGTCGGGATTCTTCGGCATTGAAGGTCTTGGTGATGGGACAGAAGATGTACATTTGGGTTATGGGGTCATAATTACGAAGAATACCATGGAGGTTAGTGTCTTTAATACAATATGTGAAATTTAGGAAAAATGGTGAAGTGTATTTGGAATTAATGAATTGAAAACGATGGTGTGGTTGTCTAGAGGGTGTGTGTAGGTCAAAGTGATTTTGGATGAAGCGATAATAACTATATGTGTGGGTTTGTTTAGTGCGCAACATAATATCGTGTGAGCAGTGTAAATCTCTTTCGTGTGGTGCAAGGAAATGAAAGGTTAGTGAAAATATTTGGAAGCGTTCTTTAAAACTTTCGTATGCTTGTGTGTCTGTTAGTGCTTCTGAAATAATGTGATCAAACTTTCGGTCGAAGATGTTTAGTGTAAATATATATGGTGTCTTGATGAAAAATTTCTCAGTAATTTGTGGATTAGCGAAGCGATCGTCGTCTAAGAATTGATCTTGGTTAGCTCTGATGATGTTGTGATCATAGTATTCGAGTGTATATTCGTTAGCTCTAGGTGCAGTGTGTGTTTTTAGTGATTTTTTATATCCAACGTAAGTAAATTGTCTAGCGGTTAGTGGTGTAGTGAGTCGATATAGCATATCCGTATTTCGCTCTATATCGATGTGAGTGTTAGATAAAGGTAAGCAAAGAGGGTTAGTAAAATGATAATATGAGGTCCAAGAGAGAGTGGGCATTAAAACGTATTCATCTACAAAGTTGCGTGTTTCGTTAGTGTCGTGGGGGGTATTTAAGGTGTATTGTGGGAATGAGGGTAAAGTGATGGCTAAAAATTCTTTTGTGTTAGTATGCT